ATCTGTCATTCCTCCAAGGTACTACATTTTTCTAGGCAGTGTGGTGGGGAGCTTCGGCTTTTAAAGTCACTCTGACAAGAAGGTCTCCTGCACCTCCTTCACTAGGCAGCCTCAACTCAAGTATGCTATGACACTTCCTATTAGTCACCATTAAACAGTCTCTTCTACCCTGAGAATAGTGCCTCAGACAGCTACCATTTGATCACTTCCTACCCAATATTGTATATGTCATACCTGCATTCATCAGATGAGTTTTGAAGGTTAACTACTTCATTCCTAATTCTCCAAAAATTATTACATTTACTTCATGTCAGATAAATGAGAATGTTTACAACAAACAGATAAAAAAAGGGTAATTTATATTCAAGTATCTAATATCTAAAAACCTTCTTTGTGAAGAAATGTCTCATATTTAAATAACCTAATATTGGCTGGGCGCAGTGACTCATGCCTGTAATCCCAGCACTTTGGGAGGCTAAAGCAGGCAGATCACTTGAGGTTAGGGGTTCAAGATCAGCCTGGCCAAATGGCAAAACACTTATCTAATAAAATACAAAGTTAGCTGGGTGTGGTGGCATGCACCTGTAATCCCAGCTACTCAGGAGGCTGAGGTGGGAGAATCTCTTGGACCCAGGAAGTGGAGGTTACAGTGAGCCGAGATTGCACCACTGCACTCCAGCCTGGGTAACAGAGCAAGACTCCATCTCAAAACAAACAAATAAATACAAATAAAAAATAACCTAATATTTTGGGCCTCATCTTAACCAGGTTTTCTTTCATATTGTAGTTACTGACCTTGAAATGTCACCAAACCTGTTAAAAAGGATGAAGAATTTTGGAAGATGGAATGAAATTTAGTAGTGACATAGAGGCTGGGCAAGGTGGTTCACGCCTGTAATCCCAGGACTTTGGGAGGCCAAGGCAGGCAGATCATGAGGTCAGATGATTGAGACCATCCTGGCTAACACAGTGAAACTCTATCTCTACTAAAAATAAAAAATAAATAAATAAATAAATAACTTAGCTGGGTGTGGTGGCACACACCTGTAATCCCAGCTACTCAGGAGGCTGAGGTAGAAGAATTGCTTGAACCCAGGAGGCGGAGGTTGCAGTAAGCCGAGATCGCACCACTGCACTCCAGCCTGGGCGACAGAGCAAGATTCCATCTCAAAATAAACAAACAAACAAATAGTGACTTAGAATAAATTATTGAAGGAACCAGAACTTTAAAAACTGCTCATCAAGATCAAACAAATAACGTAGGAAATTATAACCTGATAGAACATAGATTCAAACATGTATCACAAGTTTGCAGTGTCTTATCTTTGTATTAAAAAAGAGATAAGGAAGTGTTCCATTTTTTAATTCAGAGCCCTATTTTACCAGTAGTCTAGGTTTCATAACTTGGGGTGGACCTAGAAAATTTGGAACATTCAGATAATAGCAATATGATGATTAAGGGATTAGTAATACCTAGACTTGCACTTCTAAGATTAATTGATGCTTCATAAGACTTATCATTTTCATAAATGTCAGGTAACTGTTTAAGATAATTTAGTTTTTGTTCAGAATGAAATGTTTTTGTTCCTCTTCCAAACAACTAGCAATTGGGTGATTGTGTATTTTTTATGTTAAAATTTAGCTTAAAATCTTTCCTTCAGAGAGGATTATGTCGTCTATCAAATTGTAATTTTGATGATCACAATCTTTTCCCAGCAGGAATATTTGTTTGTTTGTTTTTAGCCTAAGCTAGATACTTGGCTAGAGAATTCTAACCCATGAATAGGCTAAACCCATGATTATCAAACCCATGTTTGGTTAGAATTTAATTAAGTTTACCTGAGATATTGTATAAGCATTTTAAAATACACTGTAAAATGATTCAACTCCCATAGGATGGTAATAATATTGGGTTTTTAAACTTATTATTATGAGTGCACACTGGTTGTACCTATTTATGAGGTACATGTGATATTTTGATACAAGCACACAATGTATAATGATCAAATCAGGGAAATTTGAGTATGCATCATGAATGAAGCATTCATCATACTGCTTTTTCTGTAATTCCCCAATGATTAAATAATCACCTTTAGTAGTTTATTTGTATCACAGCCCTTATAATCAAGTCATATCCATTTGAATGGTAGGGGGACAGAACATCTACCTTGACTGTTGGTTAAGTTCAATAAAATCATAGAGGTGGAAGGAATTTTGGCGATACAGTATTGACCTTAACAAGTTACATGAGTTGTAATGAACAGTGACCAAGTGATTCTCTATGGCTTTGATTTAGGTCACAGAGCCCTGGAAAGCTTTATTTATGTCTAACCCAAACCTACCTTTCTGTAAGCAAAATTCTTCTTGTCCTGTCTTCAGGGTATACATGTACATGGAAACTTTGTCCTTTGCTGTTTGGGATTTTTAAAAATGTGCTTGAGTGTAATTTAGGTAACCCTCCTAAAGTCAAAGCTGCTTATGTTCTCTGTATTCTAATACCCATTTCAGCAGCTGAATTATTCTGTTGCCTTTCACTTCGTCATCTTCAAGTTACTTTCCTTAAATTATTTCACTTAAATAATGAGAGAATTACTAATCTAGCATATTTAACATAACCTGAACATAATCATTTCTTTGCTTGGTTGTTTAAGGAGAAAGAGTGCACATGGACGGTGGGTGTGTACGTTCTGAGTCCTAGTTATCAATGAGATCACAATCAGATGTTATTACATAATATAACATGACATATTAGTTTGGAAGAAGTATAATTTAGAAGAAAATAATATAGTTCCTGGAATCAGATATTATGGGTTGGTATTCTAGCTGTACTATTTATTAACTAGGACAATTTGGACACGTTGCTTAACCTTTCTGGGTTTCTTTCCCTCACCATAAAGCATGGATAATAATAGTGAGAGGATTAAATAAATTAACACATGAAATACTCAGGATAGTCCTGGGCTCATAGTAAGTACACAGTAAGTGGTAGTTGTTCATTATCATGTTATTGTATACGTAGATGACATATTGACACATTTAGGCTCTTCATACATTTCCTAGTTGGAAACCTGGCAAATTCCTATTCACCCTTCAGTACCCTGACCAAGGTATAATACCTACCACGGGCATTTCTGCCCCCAACTCCCCAATAGACTGACTGTGTGCGACTTGGTGCCACTTTGAGCCTCCTGCCTAATTCTGACTCTGAGCTAATTGTAGGCTTTATGGGAGGTGGTGGGATGGGCCCAGCAGGATGGCGGGCTGCAGGTCAGACAGCATGGGCTCCAGACCTGGCCTTCCAAGCTAGAGTGGGACTTCACTCCTTGAGCTTGATGTCCTCTGTGGGCTGCCCTGAGGACTAAATGAGATTGTGCCTGGCAAGTCACATGAGCATGCAGGGGATAGGTTGAGGGCCATTTTTTTGTCAATGAAAAATACGCCCAAAAAAAACCTCTTTTTCATTGTAGAAGGTCTGACTCCACAACCTGTCACTTAATATGAGCATTAATTGACTTGAGTACTTTCCACCATTCTCCATTTTTCCCTTATGTTTTCCCATATACCATAGGGATTATATACATATTTATCTTCAAGTATTTTTATTCTTTTTTTTTTTTTTTTTTTTTTTAGATGGGCTCTTGCTCTGTCACCCAGGCTGGAATACAATAGTGTGATCTCAGCTCACTGCAACTTCCCTCTCCTGGGTTCAAGCGATTCTCCTGCCTCAGCCTCCCTAGTAGCTGGACTATAGGCAAGCATCACCACATCCGGCTAATTTTCTTATTATTTTTGGTAGAGATAGTCTCAGTATGTTGCCCAGGCTGGTCGTCAACGCTTTACCTCAAGCAAATGTCCTTCCTCATGTGCCCAAAGTGCTGGGATTACAAGCATAAGCCTCCGTGACTGGCTTACAAAAAATATTGTTTAAATTCTCTTTCCTCAATAAACTTATGGAAAATAATATTTTCCCTCCAGCTATTCTGATAATACACCACTTTCAGTGGTTTATCTTAGACATCTCAAACCCTTGGAAACAAGTCCTGAACTTAAGACTAATGTGTGTAGAATCAAAAAGAAAATAAACTGCCGAATCTGAAGCTTGGCATTTGCAGTTTGCATTACTGTACTTATGTCTGTTCCATTGATTCACACACTCCCACTACAAGATTTTCTCTGTACACATTTTGAAAAGTGGTATCTTTACTGAATAATTTCTCTACACACACCCACATTCACTTCTTAGTTTATTTAAATTAGCAATTGTGTCTGCCAGAGGAAAGTTCCATCTAGAAATACAAGGTCAGTTTCCTAATCAGTAGCCACCAGATAGAATTAAGTAAATTAGTCTGTGGCCATACCACCCTGAAGACCCCCGATCTCATCTGATCTCAGAAGCTAAGCAGGGTCAGGCCTGGTTAGTACTTGGATGGGAGAATTATGTAAATTAGTTTTATTTTTTGGGTTTTTTTTTGACATAGAGTGTCACTCTGTTACCCAGGCTGGGGTGCAGTGGCATGATCTTGGCTCACTGCAACCTCTGCCTCCTGCACTCAAGCAATTCTTCTGCCTCAGCCTCCCAAGTAGCTGTGATTACAGGCCTGTGCCGCATGCCTGGCTAATTTTTGTACTGTTGGTATAAGCTGGGTTTTACCATGTTGGCCAGGTTGGTCTCTAACTCTTGGCCTCAAGTGGTCTTCCCTCCTTGGCCTCCCGAAGTGCTGGGATGTTACATAAGTGAGCCACCACCGTGGCCAGAATTAAGTAAATTAGTTTCAAAGAGAGAAGAAACCATTTTACCTGTATATTAGCTAAATTATTTGACAGCTAACATACATAATATATACCATAATTCTGTCTCACTCATTACTTAATATATCCTAGTGTTATTTGCTTTAGATGAAATGATCTATATTAACTAAAATATTGCAGTAAGTTAAAGTCTACTCCTTTGAAGATGTTTAACAGTAATACAGATTAATTCCACACTGGAGGAGACTCACTTTTTCAGGTTTTTTCCTTTTTCGCTTCTCGGACTCCAGGATTAGCCACACATACAAAACGGCAAGGCAGGATTTTAACGTCCTTTCCTTGAAAACATCTGAAATAGAGAAAGAGGTGTGTTTAAGCATAAAAAACGACTGTTGCTAAAATGGTGTTGCTTTCTCATATGTCACATATCTCCAGACATAATGATTCTGGAAATCAGGATAATTACCACCTTTGCTCTCCTATTCAGCTTTTATGGATCACCTGATTTTTCCTTTCTTCGTCTAGAGAGATGTGTGAAGCCAGGCAATTTGACTGCAGATTTTCCCTGTACAGATATAATTTGAAGAAGACTGAAAAAGCTTCATTCTCTTTAACTATTTGATTTTATTTCATACAAAGAAAATGAAACGACAGAACAGTTTTTCATTTGGCTTTATTTTGGCAAATGCTATAATTGAAAGCGTAAAACCAATCAATGACACCTCTGGTTAAAAATTATTTCTGAGAAGTATCCCGAAGGAGTGATTTCTGAGGAATAATATGCAGCCTTCAATTTACTTTATCACAGCTGGATATGAAGTTAAATCTCCGGCTGGAATTTAACCACCCAGAACCAGGCACCAGATGGCTTATCTGCACCTCATCCCGACAGCTGTGTCCTGATATGCACAGCTGGTCTTCACATTTGAATGACAATATTTAAATGATAACATTATGTAATGTAGAAAAATGTGTTTGGGTAGCATGGGTCTTGAAAACTAGATTGCACAGTTGCTCTTAATAGTAAACGCACAGCCTCCATGGCTAATTCACATTCCTTCTATTTGTGTTGATGGGTCTTGGCTGGAATAAAGGTTGACTGGCACATGGCAACATTCCAGGGCCATTCATATTGTACTGCCGTCTATCCATAATGACCCTCCTGGGTACTCACCATGTTAGATTTTCCTTCACATTAAAATAAGCACAACAGAGTTTCCATTGTGAAGCAGGAGACTTTTACAATTTTGCAATAATTAATAGATACTGCATTCTGCTGTGGTGGAGGAATTAAAAAGTACTTGATTGGAAAGCAGCTGCTATGGAGATTCCTCAACATTGTTGGGATATTATTACTCCTATCTTAGTTGAACCACAAATGTCACCAGGTCATGAAATATAACAAAATTAATATAACACAATTTAGCACTTTAAATAAAAAACTCCGTGAAGGGCAATTCTCAAGGAAATACATTTGAATACATTTCAGACACGAACGAAAAATCTGGCATATTTCAAATGTGAGATGGATGAATGAATGTGCAAGAGTTCCAGAAAATTAATTTCACAAGTAGACAGAGATTCGCCATGCTGCTGTTCAAACTCTGATGCATGCATGCACCACCCCAGTGACAAAAAGAAAACTTATCCTTAATGTGTCTCCAAAGCAGTCATGGATAGAAGGAAGAAACATTCTATTTGTAGTAAGGAGCTGTGGATATAGTATCTCACTGCTACTTTCCGTTTCTATAGGTTTGGTCCTGTCATTTCACTTCGATAAACCTCAATGCCTTCACCAGAAAAATGGGAGCCATAGATGATAATAAATATGTGACTCTGTTTAGTAAACTGCTATGAAACAGAAGAAAGTGGTGTGACTCTTACTGCTGCCTGGTTCTCTAGGGGACTCACTAAATAGTACTGCCCTTCCCCACCAGGGTTCTCAATAAACTGAAATATAAAATTAAAGAGTGGCACAGAAAGGACTGAAGACCACTTTCATAATTAATAAAGGCTAAGTCAGAGGCCATCCCCTGCTTCGGGTTTAATGGACTTCCTAGCATTAAACCCCAGGAATGGACAGATTTATGCAGCGAGGCTTGACAAAGCAGAGGCAAAGGACACAGTCCCTGTGAGCAGCTCAGGAAAAAAGTCAAAGATGAGACTGGCATGCCTGGTTTCATCTTTCAAAATTTATGAATCAAAGAAGCCACTCAAAGCAAAAGAATAGAAGGACTGTGCTGCACTGAATACCCTCGACATGAAAGGAAATGTATGGAGTGTCTTCCTCTAACATTCCTCAGCTTTTCTTCTTACTCCAGCTGACTTAAACATCAGTGCTTGGTCAACCAGGGATATGGCTCTCCTCTTCGGAGGAAGATACCATAATCGAGCAGGACAGTCCTACGCCTACTTCCATGAAGCTAATCTCTCAATATCAGTAATCACTTTATGAGTATCTTCCTGAGTCCACTGTGAACAACATGGATTTTACCCTCATGAGGCTCAGAAATCTGTTAGGGTACTACATTACTTAAATCAACTCCAAGGTCACTCCGTACCCAAGGCCGAAAATGCTTTCTTCATCCTATTTCTCATCCTAAGCTATGTCCAGTCACATTGTTCAATGTAACCAGGTAAAGCTCGGTGCTTCACTTTCTCTCCTTTACACCACATATCCAAGCTATCACCAAGCCCTGTAGGTTCTTCCTTCAAAACCACTTCTTGGCCAGGCACGGTGGCTCATACCTGTCATCCCAGCACTTTGGGAGGCAGAGGCGGGCAGATTACCTGTGGTCAGGTGTTTGGGTCTAGCCTGGCCAACATGGCGAAATCCCGTCTCTACTAAAAATACAAAAATTTGCCTGACCTGGTGGCGGGCGCCTGTAATACCAGCTACTCAGGAGGCTGAGGCAAGAGAATCGCCTGAACCAGGCAGGGGAGGTTGCAGTGGGCTGAGATCCCATCACTGCACTCTAGCCTGGATTACAAGAACGAAACTCCGTCTCAAACAAACAAAAACAAATCAAAACAAAAACCTCCTTCTCATCACTTCACCATGAGCATCCCTCCTCAGCAATTCCATTATGCTGCTTCATTTTCCTGGGTTCCATGAGTTCTACTACTCTTACTCTACATTTGTTTAGTATCCATCAGAGTAGGAATTTCATCTGTTTTATTCACTACTGTATCCATAACACCTAAAAACATTCCTGACACATGGTAGGCAACCAATAAATACTTTTGAAAAGGGAGAGGAGGGCAGAGGAAGGGAGGGGAGGGCAGAGCAGGGGAGGGAAGGAGGGGAGAGAGGAGGGGAAACGTAAAAGAGAAGGGAAGAAGGACAAAAGGGAAGGAGGGAGGGAAAAAGAGGTAAGAAAAGAAAAAGGCAAATGAAAAGCAACAATTGTTAGGGTTTCTAAGGCTAAGGTACCCTTATATTGCAAGACACCCTCTTCAATTAGTGGTTGAACCTCCCTCTGGAGCCTAGAATACAATGTTAGTGGTATATGAAAAGGGCTATTATCATTTATTACAAACTCCTAATTTTCCAACTCTAGCCTGTGCTTTGTCATTTTCAGCAATATCAATAGATTTCCCATCAACCAAATAGATTCCCTCTATGGTAGGGGATAACTCTCACTTTTTGTGTTATAACTTAGGTGTTTTCAAATGATACTGAAGAAAGGTTGTGATTAATTAGGATTCAGCAATGTTAGGCTACTTGATTCAAATGGATCCTCATTCATGTTTCACAATCTTTTTTGTTCAGTTGTTGCCCATCTTCATAAGACTTTCCATAATAAATCTTTTAAAATGCTTCACCAATTTCTAGTCACCAATTCAATTTCAAATCTGTTGTAATCTTCGTGGGTGATTTTTACTACTCTAACAGAAGATCAAGATTAGCAGGCATTAATTACCCCATGTGCCTTTAATCTTTTACTCTTAAAAATAACCATCTTTTTCCTCCCAGATGGAGAATTGTCATTTTCCTTTCAATCTCTCCTTGAGCACCACAGTCATAATTCTGATGTTGACATAGCTTCTTTGGTCCTTGAGATCTAAAATAAGATAGATTTAGATTCTGAATTTACACTCTTCTGAAGTCCAAAGTCCTTTAAAATGTTTCTAGATATTTACATAGCTCTTAAATTTTCAAGCTCACCTAAGTATCTGAGCTTCTGTTTCTGTATGTGCTATTTCCCTTATATACTATGTGGGGGTTGGGGGTTTTTGTTTGTTTCTTGAGACAAAGTCTCGCTTTATCACCTAGGCTGGAGTGCAGTGGCCTGATCTCATCTCACTGCACCACAATAAATACTTTCAAAAAAACAAAAGGAAGAGGAAAGGAGGGGAGGTGAGGGGCAAGCAGGAAAGGGAAGTTGCGGGTGGGGGTCAAGTGAGTCTCCTGCCTCAGCCTCCCAAGTAGCTGGGATTACCGGCATGCGCCATCACACCCAGCTAATTTTTTGTATTTTTAGAAGAGACGGAGTTTTGATGTGGTCAGGCTGGTCTCCAACTCTTGGCCTTACGTGATCTGCCTGCTTTGGCCTCCCAAAGTGCTGGGATTAAAGGCTGAGCCACTGCTCCTGGCCCCATTATATACTATGTTTATCCAGAAGTGAAGTCCAGATCATTCAAAATGTTTTGAAAAAACAAGAAGGAAATGTTGTGAGTACTGGAGATTTTATTGAAAAATCCAGGTGGCATCATTCTGATGAATAAGAATAAAGTAGCATTCTACTGGGAGTGTCTGAGAACACTTTTGCTTTCTGGATAAAAAGGGAAAGATGTGGCTCATATCAGGTCCTTCTCCTTTTCCCTAACTTGAATATGGATGTATGTCAGGAGCAAACCCAGTGGCTGTCTTGTGAACATAAAGCAGCAAGTAAGTTCTCACACTTTAGAGCTACTGAATCAATGCCAGGAGCTTTCTACTTATTAGGTGCAAAAAAGTAAAGCCTTATCGCTTTAAATCGTCATTATGTTTTCTGTTACTTGCAGCCAAAGCACTTAAAACGAATACAAAATTGCCAAGTTACAATGATGATAACTCTAAACCTATGAAATTCAAGGGGTTTAATGATTTATGAGTTGGGTGTGGTAGTACACACCTGTTAGTACCAGCTGAGGCTGGAAGACGGCTTGAGTTCAGGACTTCCAGGCTGTAGACCTATGATCATACCTTTGAATAGACACTGCACTCCAGCCTGGAAAACATAATAAGACCTGGCATCAAAAAAAAAAAATTCTTTTTAATCTGTGCCTTATTCTAAGGGCCATAAGGGCACCTAAACTACTGAGTGCCCTCAGAGCTTTGAGATGCAATTAAAAGCTAGGGAGTGC